CATAAAGGACATAGAAGAGTACAGGCCCTTCGGCCCACGATGTTGTGCCGACCTATTATCCTACTAAGATCAATCTACCCTCCATATCCTACATTTTACTATCCTCCATGTGCCTATCCAAGAGTCACTTAAATGTCTCTAAAGTATCTGACTCCACTACCACTGCCGGCAGCGCATTCCACACACCCACCACTCTGTGTAAAGAACCTACCTCTGACATCTCCCACATACCTTCCTCCAATCACCTTAAAATTATGCCCCCTCGTAATAGTCACTTCCGCCCTAGGAAAAAGTTTCCGGCTATCCACTCTATGCCTCATCATCTTGTAAATCTCTATCAAGTCACCTCTCATCTTTCTTCGCTCCAATGAAAAATGCCCTAACTACCTCAACCTTTCCTCATAAGACCTGCCATCCAGTCCAGGCAGCATCCTGGTAAATCTCCTCTGCACCCTCTCTAAAGCTTCCACATCTTTCCTGTAATGAGGTGACCAGAACTGAATACAATATTCCAAGTGTGGTCTAAACAGTTTTATAGAGCTGCAGCATAATCTCACAGCTTTTAAACTCAATTCACCTGCCAATGAAAGCCAGCACACCATACGCCTTCTTTACAATCCTATCAACTTGGGTAACAACTTTGAGGGACCTATGGACGTGGACCCCAAGATCCCTCTGTTCCTCCACACTGCCGAGATTCCTGCCATTAACCCTGTATTCTTCATTCAAATTCGACCTTCCAAAATGAATCACTTCACACTTTTCTGGGTTGAATTCCATCTGCCACTTCTTTGCCCAGGTCTGCATCTTGTCAATGTCCCATTGCAACCTACGACAGCCCTCCACGCTGTCCACAACTCTACCAACCTTCACGTCATCAGCAAACTTACTAACCCACCCTTCCACTTCCTCATCCAAGTCATTTATAAAGATCACAAAGAGCAGAGGTCCCAGAACAGATCCCTGCGGAACACCACTGGTCATCGAGCTCCAGGCTGAATACTTTCCATCTGCTACCACCCTCTGTCTTCTATTGGACAGCCAGTTTTGTATCCAGACAGCCAAGTTTCCCAGAATCCCATGCCTCCTTACTTTCTGAATGAATCTAAGATGTGGAACCTTATCGAATGCCTTGCTAAAATCCATATATACCACATCCACTGCTCTAACTTCAATGTGTAGTCACATCCTCAAAGAATTCAATAAGGCTTGTGAGGCATGACCTGCCCCTCACAAAGCCATACTATTTCTAATCAAATTGTGCTTTTCCAAATAATCATAAACACTCTCTCTCAGGATCCTTTCCAAAAATTTGACCACCACAGCAGTACAACTGACTGGTCTGTAATTTCCAGGATTATCCCTATTCCCTTTCTTGAACAAGGGAATGACGTTAGCCAACCTCCAATTTTTGGCACTACTCCAGTCAACAGTGAGGACGCAAAGATAATTGCCAAAGGGGCAGCAATCTCTTCCCTCAGCAACCTTGGGTATATCCCATCTGGCCCAGGGGACTTATCTATCATGTTTTCCAAAATTTCTAGCACATCCTCCTTCCTAACATCAACCTGTTCAAGCATATCAGCCTGTTTCACACTGTACTCACAAATGTCAAGGTCCCTCTCACTGGTGAATACTGAAGCAAAGTATTCATTAAGGACCTCCCCTACCTCCATACACAAGTTCCCTCCATTAACCCTAATTGGCCCTACCCTCACTCTGGCCATCCTCTTGTTCCTCACATGAGCACAGAATGCCTTGGGGTTTTCCTTGATCTGATCCACCATGGTTTTCTCATACCCCTTTCTAGCTCTCCTAAGTGCATTCTTTAGTTCCTTCCTGGCTACCTTGTAGATCTCTACAGCCCTGTCCGATCCTTGCTTCCTCAACCTTAAGCAAGCTTCCTTCTTCCTCTTGACTAGGTGTTCGTGTCTTGTCATCCAAGGTCCCTTCATCTTAGCATCCTTTCCTTGCCTCAATGGGACAAACCTATCTAGTACTTGTAGCAACTGCTCCCTAAACAACCTCCACATTTCTGTCGTGCATTTCCCCGAGAACATCTGATCCCAATTGGTGCTCCATAGTTCTTGCCTAATGCATTTTAATTTCCCCTCCGCCAATTAAATACTTTCCCATACTGTCTGCTCCTATCCCTCTCCATGACTATAGTGAAGGTCAGGGAGTTGTGATCACTATCACCGACATCCTCTCCCACCGAGAGATCTGGCACCTGACCTGGTTTGTTGCCAAGCACTAAATCCAATATGGCCTCCCCTCCAGATCTCTTCATTTGGGAACACTCCCCAGGGCCCACCACTAAGTGTACAAGACCCGCCTTGATTTGCTTTACCAGAACAAAACTCCTCACATTTATCCAAAAACAAACAAACAAACAAACAATTGGATCAAGGTCCCACTGTACAAAAATAACCTTCTTCACTGTCCACTATGCTAATTTGTAATTTTGCAAACTTACTAACCATACCTCCTATATTCAACTCAAATCATTTATACAAATTACAAATATAAATAGATCCAGCACCAATTCTTGAGACACACCACTGGTCACAAGCTTCTAGTCTTAAAAACAAACCTCCAACACCACTTTGTCTCCTTTCATTCAAGCCAATTGTCTCTATATAGCTAGCTCTCTCTGCATTCCATGTGAATTAACCTTGCTAACCAGTCTACCATGCAGAATCTGGTCAAAGAACTTGATAAAGTCCAAATGGGCAACGTCCACCACTCTGCCTTGAGTCTTCATCACTTGAAAATGAAAGCTCAATTAAGTTATGACTTTCTCATCACAAAGCTATACTATCCCTAATCAGTCAATGCCTTTCTAAATGCTTGTAAATCCTGTCCCTCAGAATCTCCTCCAACAATTTAGAATTATAAAATCCCTACAATGTAAAAGCATGCCATTCAGCTCATTGAGCCCACATTGACTCTCAAGTACATCCCACCCAGACCCAAACCTTACCACCCCTTAGCTCTGCAAATTTCCCATAGCTAATCCACCCAACCTACACATCCCTGGACACTACAGGCAATTTCACACGGCCAATCCACCCTAACTCACAGCTTTAGACTGTGGGAGGAAACCAGAGAACCGGGGAGAATGTGCAAATTCCACAAAGTTGCCCGAGGGCGGAATCAGAACCGAATCCCTGATGCTGCTAGCCACCCAGCTGCTATGCAGAGTTGGTTAATACAGTATCATATCCCTACAGTGCCAAAAGAGCCCTTTCAGCCCATCTGGTCCATACCAACCTTCTGAAGAGCACACCACTGGGATCTCCCCTCTATCCCCGTAACTCCACACTCACCACAGCTAACCCACCAAGCCTGCACATCTCTAGTCACTAGGGAGTTTTTTTGGTTATTCACTCCCTCAGACCACCTTTAACCACTCTTCCGTCTGTTCAATAGTTCTCTTTGGGCTCTCAACCTATTATTTACTCCTTACCTCCCACCCCTTATCTTCTGGGTAAGGACCCTTTTCCAACCTACCATCAGTTCTGAGAGACTGCCACTGGAACCAAAATGTCAACCAATTTCTCTCAATGGATGCTGCCAGACTTGTGCATTTTCCAGCAATTTGTTTGTGTTGCTGGACAACACAACAGGTTTGACAGCAACTATGGAGAGAGGAAAAAGAGTTAATGTTTTGAATCCAGTGACCCTTTGTTTCCAGCATCCAGAGTTCATGGTTATTCATTAAGAATGTTTTCAGCATCTCTCCTCCCCATAGATTTTTGTTTTTTTTTTTAAATAAAATCTTTGAACAGTGTTCAGTACACCTACTGTCACCCTTGCACACTGACCCAATCTTAGATTGCTATGCTTGTTTACCGTAACCAGAAGTAGGTTATAGATGCATACTGCCCAACAAAAAAAACCAAGATGAATGCAGCAAGAGGTAGCTTACATATTGTATTGAAATGTTCCATGTCAGGAACTGTTTTTCTAGTGACAGATAATTGGGCAAATTGTCAGTGATGAATTGGATACAATTCTTGACCCGAGTTGAAGTACGCAGAAAGTTAACTGATGCAGCACAATGCAAAGTCCAGCTCACAAGTACTTAAAATCAACCATACATTCCAAATCATAGATCACTATATCACCTTTGCCATTATCTTTACATTACAACTAACATTCTTCCTAAAGATGAAGTACAAACTAGACATTACTTACTTTAATGGCAGAATGTTTGAAGTGTAAGAGTTTGATCTACTCCAGGATCATGATCCAGTAAGCGTTGGTCATGTCTAAACTTCGTAGCACATAACCTGGAAGTGGTTTTGACATTGCTTTTTATGCCTCAAACAGTACGGGACTTTATTAAAAGTTATTTACCCTTTCAGAAGGCACTATACACAAGATTTAACATGTTTGCTTAGTTTCTCCTGCTAGTAATGCAGTTTGTGGTTTTACTGAAATGCAAGTAGTACTGAATGAATGATGAGAGAAAAATAAACAAAATCTAGATCAATCCTGCAAAGAGCTGGTCAAGTGTTCAGTTAAATGTATTTCACATACAACCTAAACCTCAAAGCCCATCAACTTTAGAAACTCCAAATACTAGGGTTTTCCATCTTTAAAATATTTAAGCCCACTACAACAAACATTGCTGTCTACTGCTTAATTGACAGATTTTAGGTTAAGGAACTGAAGCTTTCAATGCAAACTCAAAGCTTCCATCTTTAGTGACTAATTAGCCTAATCAAGCACTAATCTAATAATTAAAACAATTCCTGTTTGTGGCTGCTTAGCCTCACTTCTGTACTTTATAACTTCACATTTTTGCAAGCACCTTATTCAATAGTGTCACTTTCTAGATTCTCAAACTGCTGATAAGAGGTGCATTCATTTGTACTAAGTGTAGAATTGATAAAAACCCACTACTGCAATATACAAAAATACAGCAAGATTCTTATTGCTATAGTCCCTCCCCTTGATTAGCCAACAAATACTGAAGGTAGCAAGCCAAGTCATTTGTCATTGCCAAAAACTTTATTATCTACAATGCTTCAGGTACTAAGTCCAGTTTACTCATTACAAAACCAAGATGAATACACCAGTGAATTATCATGCAAAGACAAAGACAAAGTGCAAATTAACAAAATTTTCACAGTCCACCACGCAGTCGCAGGACAAGGTGTAGAGTAGATTCTTTCTGGATGTTGTAGTCAGACAGGGTACGACCTTCTTCCAGCTGCTTGCCAGCAAAGATCAGACGCTGCTGGTCAGGAGGGATTCCTTCCTTGTCCTGGATTTTAGCCTTGACATTCTCAATGGTGTCACTGGGCTCAACTTCAAGGGTAATGGTCTTACCAGTCAGGGTCTTCACAAAAATCTGCATTGTGAACTGAAAGTGAAGCAACAAATTTAGACATTCGCCATTTCTTGAACAACACGAAAGGAACTAGTTGAAAGAAGCGGTTAGAAAAGGGCTGCGTCCCGCGGGGGCACGGCCTCTCGGCCGTTACCGGATGTTGGGGTGGGGCCCGTTAATCCACGGAACGGACCCCCAACTTCGATAGATACCTACCAGAATTAACACTGCACAAAGGTAGCACACTGTGGGTTACAAATACCATTAAATACTAACCTTAGGCAGTTAGCTCAGTTCTCTAACGATCACCAGAATCTCTTCACGACTGCTCAATCTGAATAACACGGTACGCAGTTAGGAGCACGCTTTTATAGCCTAGCGGCAGCGAACACCCAACATAATCCTTCCACGATAAAAAAAATGCTCAATTTTTTGCTGCATAGACTGTTTTAGCCTTACTACCTTCTAATAATAGTCAATTAATATTCGATTAACATTTTAGTTACGTTCAAAGTTAAACTCGTAAATATTTATTAAAGATATTTATCACTTACCACAATCGCGGATTGATTTCTAAATGTGCTGTGGCGGTTGTGACCAGCTTACATAAGGGCCCCTCTCACTGATTGGACAGGCTCCTAGCGCTCTGAGCATTGATTGGCTGACGCCGGTACATGCTTCACAATGGCTGGCGATTAAACAAGGTTCTGGCCAATCAGAGAGCGCCGCATCATACAGTGTCATCACAAGGCTCCGTGATTGCCCCGTGACCTGGAGGAGCTTGGTGATGGGTGGGGGAGGGGATAGTGAAAGGCCCCGGGTGGCGGGTGGGGATTTGGGCAGAGCAGGAGAGAAGGAAGAGGGGCTAAAGGGTAGGGAGACGGAAGGTATCGTCGGAGGAAAGAGAGAAGAGATGTGGTGGGGGGCTCTGGAAGAGGGGTAGCTGGGGTGGAAGATGAGAAGGTCAGTGAGGCTGACAAAAGGGTAAAAACACGATGATGGAAAGGGACACAAGATTTTATTATTTCGCTGTGAATCAGCAATGTAATTGCATACAAAGTTTTAAACACTTAAAAGCCAAGTCTTTTGTTTTCTTTTTATCAGTAACTTATATTCCCGTCTCTGTACAGTTGAAGAAATTAGCTTCTGGACATTGCTTTACAGCAAATATTCAAATATTTCTCACTAGTTACTAGAATGTCATTTTGTTTGTATAAAAGTTAGTTTCTAGAAACTAGATGGCCATGATGTAAAATTGGTATTGGTCTGTATTCTGATTTAATCTCATTGGCATTTAAATCAAGCCACATAAGCAAAACACCAAGGACACTCCTTATTATTTGAAATGTGGTATGGTTGCCATGGATGATGTCATTATTGTGCTGTAAATTTTTGGAAGATTATCTGTGTGATGTGGTGTTTGTATCTTGGCAGATATGAGGCATAACACAGTAACTTGTTGCAGAAGCAAAATACTCTGCTGAAAATCTGAAATGACCACAGAAAATGCTGTGTATTGACAGCAATTTTTGTACTAATTTATGTTTCTGAAAAAAAAAGCTGGATTTGAAATATGTTGCCTCCATTCCTGATGTATAATGTTGTAATTGTTCTTTGATGAAGCTTTGTGTTTAAGGAAGCTTTGGTTTCAGAATTAGATGAAAATGTGACCAAGAGAACTATGTATTTTTTAAAAAAAAAGTCTGAATCTCCACAAAATCAGTGTCACAGAATGGTTACAGCATAGGAGGAAGTGTAGATTAGGTAAATTAGCCTTGGAAAATCTGGGGTTACGGGGATATGGTTGGGAGTGCTCTTTGGAGGGTCAGTGTGACTTGATGGGCTGAAAGGCCTTTTTCTGCCCTGTAGGAATTCCATGATTTTAATTTTTTTGAACCTTGACAGCAATTCTAGCTTCTGTCCATATACATGAAGTGTGTCATCCCTAATATTCATATAATCTCCCAGACCTTTTTCAAACTTTCCTAAAGTGTGGTGCCCAGAATTGAACACATCACTCCAGTTGAGGAACAAAAACAAAAGTTGTTGTAAAAGCTCAGCAGTTCTAGCAGCATCTGTGAAGAAAAAAATCAGCTAATGTTTTGGGTCCAGTGACCCTCAGAACTTCTCCAACTCCAGTTCAGGTTTAGTCAGTCATTTTGCAAAATGTCAGCATAATTTCCTTGCTTTTGCATTCAATAAATCAATTTCCACAGACAAGCAGTCCGAATGACTTAAAAAATTAGATTTATCAACTTGCCCTGCACCCCTTTCAAATTGTACAATTTAGTTTATATTGGCTTTCATTATTACAAAAAGTATTACTTCACACTTCTCTTTATTTTCCCATTTCACTAGTCTTTATTTTCCTCAAGATGGCTACTGTTCTCCTCAATTTACATATTACTGCCATCTGCAAAGTTTGAAATGTTCCTTTGTTATCAAGTCCATGTAATTACTGTACACCATGTTTACACAAATGTAGACCCTGGGCTCTTAAGCCATGAGTTGAGCAATGCTGGCTCAATATGCAGATCATTCTTTCCTAGTTGAAAACTGACTTTTGTTCAAATGCATTGTCTGATCTTAAAACACAGTGAATGCCAGTAATAAATCACAACATGGATTGTTGTTACAATGGGCCTATTTTTAATTTTAGATTTAAATTGTTAATGGTCAGCATTCACACTGTTAAAGCTTGCTGTTAACTCTGTGGCAAACTCGGGTGCAGTTATCCAGTGATTCTGAAGACACTTGGTCAAGGAGTCAGATTTTGGATGTTAGTCCAGAATGCAGATTATAGGAGGACTTTCCTATTATAACTCTGTTACTGATTGCTGTTCAACGGATGATCAGTGAAATTGCCAGTTCTGGAGTCTTGTTTTGTAGGCTTAAAGTTTACAGTAGTGGCAAATCAACAGGAAGAACAACTCCATATGTCTCAAATGCCTTGTCATTTGTGAATAAGCAACTTGTTTTCAGTTATGTACTAATAAATGTTAAGTTGTTGGAGATTTTATGCAAAGTTTGTCCTTGGGACCAATGTCAGTGCCAGAAAACATTTTGTTTCCTTTCCTCTGACAACACAAGAGTAAATGTAACAAGAACAAATATAACTCTGCTGCTGGACTCCAACTATTTGAAATACATCCAGTGCTGTTTCCTGAATTCCTCACAACACGAGTATTTACTCTCCCACCATTTTAAAGGCTGTAAGGCAATAAGACATGCAAGCATATAATACTTGGTGAAAGCAAGGAGTTTACAGTAATTTCTTTAATGTACTCTGTCAAAACAATGCCAAACGAGTGGACTGCAATATCTTGAGAAAGCTACTCACCACCACCTTTTTAAAGGCAACTAACAACACCCATGCACTATGGATGAATATGAAGAAAAATTTTTTTTTTCCTTTTCACATGATATTTTTTAAAAATTCACTCAGGGGATGTGGGTACAGTATCGCTGCTTGGGCCCAGCATTTATTGCCTGTCCCTAGTTGCCTTTGAGAAGGTGGTGGTGAGCTGTCTACTTGAACCGCTGCAGTCCATGTGCTAATTCCTGAGATATGAGTCCTTGTTGCTTGTGTGATGATGAGAAACCACAGAATGACTTGAAATATACATGTGCAAGTTGTTTGTTAGTTTGGATGCTGGTTCAGCTTGAGTGTACCTGACCAAAGTGTCAAACTGATCAAATAATTTTAAAATTTCATTTATGGGATGGGGGTGTTGTTGGCTGAGCCAGAGTTTATTGCCCAGTCAATATAATGTGGAGCTTGAGGAACACAGCAGGTCAGGCAGCATCAGAGGAGCAGGAAAGTCGAGGTTTCGATGCTGTCTGACCTGCTGTGTTCTGCCAGTTCCACATTGTATTGACTCTGACTCCAGCATCTGCAGTTCTTGCTATCTCCATTTATTGCCCAGCCCTAGTTTACTTCTGCAGTACATTTGCTGTAGGTAGACCCACAATGCCATTTTGGAGAGTTCCAGGATTTTGACCAGGTGACACTGAAAAATGGCAATGTATCTCTGGATATGTCGAGGGCATCTCAAAATCCATTGTACAGGGAACTCCCAGCTTCTGTTGCAATACTACAGATTTCTTACAGAAACTCAGTGCTCATGGACCAGTTGAACCATGAACATTCCTCGTGGCAATGAACGTTTCGGCACTCTACACCAGCATCCCCCACGATGATGGCATCACCGCAACAGCCTCAGTACTCAATACCACCAGCTGCCAATTTCCAGACGCCATCCTGCACCTCATGTGCTTCATCCTCAATCACAACATCTTTGCCTTCAACAACCAGGCCTCTATCCAGATACAGGGAACAGCCATGGGGACCAGAATTGCTCCCCAATATGCCAACATTTTCATGCACAGGTTCAACCAAGACTTTGCTGCATAGAACCTCCGACCAACACTATACACCAGATACATCAACATTTTATTCCTTTGCACTCATGGCAAGGAAACACCGAAACAACTACATAGTGATATCAACAAATTTCATCCCATCATCAGACTTACCGTGGACTACTCTTTAGAATCAGTTTCATTCTTGGACACACGCACTTCCATTGGGGACGGACACCTCAGTACATCACTTTACCGCAAGCCCACGGATAAACTCATGATGCTGCACTTCTCTAGCTTCCATTCAAAACATGTTAAAACAGCCATCCCCTATGGACAAGCCCTACACACAGGATCTGTTCAGATTAGAAGGAATGTTGATGGACACCTGAAAGTGTTGAAGGATGCCCTCCAAAGAACAGGATACAATGCTCAACTCATCAATCACCAGGGCCAATGTGTCACACACAGCAAAAACTGTCAGGATCTCCTCAGAAGACAGACATGGGATACATCCAGTAGGTTACCCTTCATCGTCCAGTACTTCCTGGCAGTGGAGAAGCTACGCTATGTGCTTCACAGCCTTCAACACATTATCAATGACGATGAGCACCTCGCCAAGATCTTCCGCACGCCTCCACTTCTCACCTTCAAACAACTGCCAAACCTTGAACAGATCATTGTTCGGAGCAAACTACCCTGCCTTCAGGCCAACATCGACCACAGCACCACACAACCCTGCCATGGCAACCTCTGCAAGACATGTCAGATCTTGGACATGGGCACTACCATCACACGTGGGAACACCACCCAACACATACATGGCTGATACTCATATGACTGAGCCAATGTTGTCTATCTCATACGCTGCAGGTGAGGATGCCCCGGGGCATGGTATATTGGCGATGCTATAACAACAGATGAATGGACACCGTGTAACAATTACCAGCCAGGGATGTTCTCTCCCCGTGGGGGAACACTGCAGCGGTCAAGGACATTCGGCCTCAGAACCTCAGGTAAAGATCCTCCAAGGCAGACTTCAGGATA